TCCTCTGTGGCTCATTATCTTCCCAATTTTTATGTTGTCCTTATCACATTCCTGATTTTACGAACGCCTCAAGGGGAGGGGGGTTGTTGATTTGGGGGGGGCGCTCCATGGCTGCTCACTGTGGGTGTGGTGGAGTCTGGAGTTTAAGGGCATTACTGCCACAGAATGGCCGGGCAGAATGCCAGGCAGGGGAGGTGTGTGTGTGTGAGTTGGAGAGTGCTAGACCAGCTCATCTCAATCCAGTCCCCTCTAATCCCCCCACTCGGGCCCAGCTCACGAGCTGCTCAGTGCTGGGGCCAAATCCCCACATTCTTCAGTCGTCCCCTGGACATGAAGTGCCTTTCTGTCCTCTCCCGTCACCCACCCATCCCTCATTCCCTTCTGCACTCCCATCTCCATAGCCTCTTCACTTGTTATGCCAATCACCACCAGCGTGGTGTCATGTGTGCGTCCTGTCGCAGTCATTGTTCTTGGCAGGGCGAGGAGGCTCAGCAATGTGCCCTTCTTCTGGACAAACCTTTTGAGATCTGTTGGCTCGGGCAGCTAATCACTGCCATTCCACAGGGAGCGTCCCGTCATTAGTTCAGCTTTGTGTTTGTCCGGGCCAAGTGTCCAACCTCTCCTCTTCAGTATAAAGTCCACACACTCAGTGTAGAAGATTCAGAGGCTTTGTTTAAGATGGAGTCAGAAACCAATGAATAATGGGCGCTTTGGATCGATATCACTACTGTGTTTGCTTTTGTTATAAGGTTTCTGCAGGTCTTAAAGTCTTGATTAAAAAGCAATCATTCGGTTTCTTCAACAAAGGTTTTCCAGTATTATTAAGTCTTAAACATTTCTTTAGCCTGCTATAGGCAGTAATATGAAATTATTTTATATTTAGAAAAAATCTTCAGTACTACCATGGCCATGAAGTGGTCATCCATCCTTTTGATGCTGTTTATCCAATTGCAGGTCATGTTTAGTGATTAATTATTTGAATTGTTAGAAATATGCCGGTGACAAAAATGTATATTAAATTTACGTAAAGCTATGTTTATTTTTCTAAACAAGCTTGACCCATTTTGGAAACCAGTCCAGATGAAGTTGAGAAATAACTTTTTGGCTGCAATGAGCCCTGAGGCGGATCGATGATGCCCTGGGCTTCGTTTGCTGTAAGTGGCACTGTGAACATTTCACTGGTAGAGAGAAGAATGGATTCAATTGAATCTCAGCAAATAAAACAAAGAAAAGCTTTAGCTGAAAAGAGGACAACTTCTATAACAGGAGGATGACCCCAAACCTCAAGAGGCACAAGCTGTGCCATGGCTCTCACATTCGCTTGTCCTAAAAACAATAGAAAATCTGTGGATAGATCTCTAAAGATCAGTGCATACAAGACAGCCGAAGAACCACGCTGAATTAGAAGATTTTTCAAGGGAGAAAGGGTGAAATTCAAAAGATTTTTTTTTGGGCTACAAGAAGCATTTACAAACTGTGATATTTGCCAAAGAATCATTAAATACTGAGCATGCAGGGTGGCTAAACTTTTGTTTTCGAGCCATTTTGCCACCATCTTGTTTAAAAGTTCAACTTAATACTTTTCAGAAACTAGCTTGTATATAACTCATGTAGAAATATTGTACAGGGTTGTCCAGACCGTTTCACCCCACACTACCGTTTCATTTTGAGGATATTTTTAAACACAATCAGAAAATCTTATGGCTTTTATTTGTCCTTCCTTTTCTCGTCACAGAAAGTGTTGATAGTGGTAGAAGAATGTAAGCAGTTTCCTGATCTGAGTTAATGTGTTGCTCAACATCCTGCCCTTACAGTTCATATTCTTTCTTCTTTCTCGTGTTTCAGTGCTTCAAATACAGGCTGAGTTCGTGACAATTATTTCTGCTTATCTCTATACAGTGCACAGTGCAGGTGAAGCTGGAGTTGGGCCACAGAGCCCAGCTAAGGAAGAAAGTGACATCGGAAGGTTTCACCCACGACTGGATGGTGTTTGTCCGAGGGCCAGAGACCGGTGACATCCAGCACTTTGTAGAGAAGGTTGTCTTCCGCCTGCACGAGAGCTTCCCTAAACCCAAGAGAGGTAAGTCAAGGAGATTTCAATGTCTGGTTTATTAATGTAGCATATTTCATTAACAAAGGGGATTCATTATGATGCAGATACAGCATGAAATAAATATAGAATGAGACGTCTTAAACACATGAAAAGACTAATGCAAGAGAGTGTAAGATAGACATGTGGGTCCATAATGGACAAAGTGCTGAAGCTTCATTTAATTTGGTTTTCAAAGATGGTAAAGTTATAGAATTTATAGTTTCTGCCTCAGCTCTGCCAACTCTTCCATCTCTGGATTATTTTTTTTTTACATATTTGGTAGTTCCTTATAGTTAAGATAAGAAAAGATAACACAACACAAAATGTTATTGATCCACTGGCAGGAAAATGTTAAACCGCAACAGCTAGAAGGTGGTTGAGAAGTACAGATTAAAAAAACAATACAAACGAGTGAGTAGAATGAGTGCTTAGAAAACACACTTCTCCACCAAAGCTAACGTCCTATCTTGCCATGTTAAAGACAGTGAAACATTAGAATGGGTTCCTCCTTGGGTCATGCCCCATCCTTCCAAAATAATTCTTTGAAAAAGAATTGGAGCTTTAACTGACAATTATTTCATCGTCTATTACTCTGCCTACTTCCATTTGATTAATTAATTTATCGATACATTTAAATATAATAATGAAATGTGCCTGTTAAAAGCCAAAGAGCCATGCAATAGAGTCTCCATTAACAGTGCTCTAGTTGTTAGAACCTTTCTGTATGATTCTAATCCATATAAATAATCCAGTATAAAGTTTGACAGGACTACAGTTTTTTAATAATGTCTAAATTTGTGAGAAAAGTTTTAGGTTTGCTTGTTTCTTGGAATTAATTTAGTGAATGAAATGATAGGAGCTTAAAGGTCAGCTGTTACAGGAGCCTGTCGAATCCACAAAGGATTCTCGGCCTTTGCACAATCGTGTTTTTCATTTAAGACCATGAATGAAACATAAGTAGATTTCCATACTTTTTCCTGTGATGCCAAAAAAAGGATTTTAACAAATTATTCCTGTTAATTTGATACAGATCTGATGACACAGAATTTTTTTTTTGAAGTCTTTGTGTTGGTTGTGAGGATTGAAATTTGTATTTATGGCTGGATCATAGTATTTATATTTGCTGTTATTTGAACTTGTCTTTTTATTATTTGTATTTGTTATGTTAGTGTTTATGTTTAGCTGCCCATGGACTGCAGATGGAAATTAGCAAGTAGATAAACCCAGTTCATATTTTCTGTTTGTATCAGATCTGAAGAACAGAGGTAATAAACTAACAGATTTATTTATCCCATTACTTTTCTACTCTACTATTATGTCATGATGCCAGAGACACGTTTTTGTTTGTCCACAGTATGCAAGGAGCCTCCATACAAAGTGGAGGAGTCGGGCTACGCAGGCTTCCTCATGCCTATTGAGGTTTACTTCAAGAACAAGGTAAGATTGACTGGAAAGAGATTAAACTGCTGATTAGTTTAGATCCTGTGTGGATGTAGATGATGTTTCGATAGAAAGAAAACACTAATATACGGCCTGATAGTGTATGGTCAGTGTGTGACATTCAGGATGTAGTGTAAAACTAATGTGCATTATTTCCTAATGTTATTTCTCTGTTAGTAATTTTGAATCACAGAAAAACCCACTTAACTTTTCTTTACAAGACGACACTCAGAGTTATGTGCACTTCAGTTCACCATCGTGTCCTGCAGGTCTTCATAATGTCAGACTTGTGGGCTGCATCCAAAAAATGTTACATCCTCTTTTTATGTGCAGTTAACCTTTACACTGTGGACAAATCTGATCAAGAACATAGCTGAAAGAAATCCCATTACCTCCATACTCTATAATTGTCTTTGTAAAGTCTCTCATAAAATCTCCCCAGCTTTAATTGTCCCCACTGTACATCACCACAGCTTCTGTCATGAATGTTAGTTGTGTTTGATCAGTGCACCAGTCATATGTCTGTTTTATTGACCCGGTTATAGTTCATCCATTCAGCTTTATCTTTTGTTGTGAAATGTAAAGGTACTGAGAGGTGATTGTATGTAGGGCAGAATGCATTCTGTAACACATGCTGTGACAAGAATGTTAAAATGACACTTATAACTTAAAAGTGTAATTAAAATCTTAATTTCATGCTTGTTTTGCAGGAGGAGCCAAAAAGGGTGTTTTTCAACTACGACCTGTTCCTTAACTTAGAGGGTAACCCCCCAGTTAACCACCTACGCTGTGAGAAGCTCACCTTCAACAACCCCACCAAAGAATTCAGGAGAAAGCTGATCAAAGCTGGAGGGGTGAGGCAGCATGACACACTGACTGATTACTGAATAACTAAGTGTAGTCGGAAGGAGATAGCATCAGCCAGCTATGGTACACTCAGTCTAGTTTTAAAAGTACCGTGTTTCCCCCCAATATATCAGACACTGAATATAGTATACAAATGTCTTAAAACATTGAATTTAGTTTCCTGGTGTAAAAGAATGTATAAAAAAACATTTTATTTATTAAAGTCTCTGTACATTTAACAAATCTATAAAAAAAAAATTCTTGCTGTGTCCTCAGTTGAAGCAAGTTAAAAAGCTGTTGGCACTATTTGGAAATTAAATAGACAACAGACGGTTTCTTTATAAGTTGATTCTGAGATTTTTAACTGCGGTCTCTTAAACTTCAGGTATTGGTGGTTCCAGAGGGGGCTGAAGCAAGACCCAATCCGGATTACCCAATGCTCCCCACCATCCCCCTCTCTGCCTTTTCAGACCCCAAGAAGACCAAGACCTCTCATGTGTCAAAGGTTGGTTAACATGACAACTACAAAGTGTTGCACGTCACTACAATCTGTGACGTGAGACTAAAGGTTTGCCTTGGTCGCACCAGTGCGGCAAACATTTAGCTGGTCGTTCTCTGTATTTTAGTGAGTCGTGTCGCTTCTTCATCTCATCTCCTCTCCAGAGTTTATACACAAACACACACATGGGAAATCCTCGCCACTAACTCAGTAATGTCAGACTGAATATTGTTTAGAATTAAGTCCATTGCTCTTTGAAAGGGTGAACTTGATTCCTCATTTTTTTAATTAATTCTCTCAATTATACATTTTCTATGTTATGAAGTGTAATTCTAGAAGCAGATAATTTGCATGTTTGAATTTCTTTTGGCGGGAAAAAGTTATTAAAAATAGAGTGTACTTGCTTGATTATGCTATAATATCAGTACACCAGTGGTTTAAAATGGTTTCACAATGAAGACAATATCCTTTATTGTGATTCCCTGCCCTAGTTAAGAAATTAGCTCAGTTAAAAGCAACTCCTGTGGATCTGTGCTCATTTACCACATTTTTACCACCACTGAATTTGGATGTTGACTGACTGCACTGGAGCCAAGAGTCTAATCTAATGGAACTTCAGTCCTTCACTTGTATGGCTACTTCCTTGTTTGTCCTTGGTTGTCAGTTAAGCAGGTTGTCGGGATCAGTGTCTAAATACTGTTCATGCTGTAGCTCAGAGCGCTGTGCTTTCTCTTTTTAACTTGTGACTTGATGTAAGGTGAAAAGTTTGTGTTTGTATAAATGTGTCCCTTGATTTTAGTATCATGGCTATTGGGATATATTTTTGGTTTAATGGTAATTAGCAAATGTTAGCATGCTAAAACACTAAATAAAATGGTGAGTATTGTGAACATATTATACTGATTTTGGCATTTTGCTAGAGACACCACTTTGTCCAAGTGCAGATTTACAGAGCTGTTGTCACAATAGACTGGTTGTCGTACTTGTAACTATCATATTATTACGTAGCACGGTGTTATAGGTCACTGTTTTTATTTTCCTTTTTTTTTTTTTTTTTACTAATTTTAGAAAATTGTTATATGGCTGAAGTTCATACTGACCAAAACACTTAGCATAACATGTCATTCACAGTAAATAATGTGATTACGTCAGACATTACTGGCCAGGCCTGATTTAGTTACTGAGAAGACAGCAATGTCCTTAAACCTCCTGACTAGGTCTTCCAGCAGCTGAGCCTCTTTCCTTTAATGGGGCCTTGAGCTGAATGCATTAAAGGTTGAGTACCCATGACATAGTTGCTGTTTTCTCTCTCCAGGAACCCAGCAAAGAAGGAAGTGGTGGAAGCAAGGGACCGAAACCACACAAGCTGACCAAGGAGCATCGCGAACGACCCCGAAAAGACTCTGAGAGCAAAGCCACATCAAAAGGAGACACTGACAGAGATGGAAGCAGCAAGAGTGGCCGAGATCCTTCCTCTTCCTCTTCCTCGTCTTCAAAAAAGCCGCCAGAGATCAAAGTGAAAGATGAAGTGAAGGTCCTACCCAAGGCAGCATTCAAGGAGCCTAAGCTCACCCTGAAGGAGTCAAAGATGGAGGGTATGTCCCCTAAAGGAGGGGGGGCTGGGAGTGGAGGGGGCGGTGGGGGGGGAGGCGGGGGAGGGCCTGCAGAATCCAAAGCTCCGGGGAAACGACCCTCCACTGTGGAATCTCCCAAACCCAGTGCGAAGAAGCAGAAGAAGGGCAACTCTGAGGGGCCGAAGGGGCCGGGAAGCGGAGCCTTCACAGGAGCTTCTCCTCGTGTCTCCTCATCGTCTGTAGCTAACCAGTCCTACGCTGAGAAGAAACCCCCCAAGGAAAAAGGTCGCTGGGCCAAAGGCAAAAATGACACACAGGAGCTGAAGGAGCCCAAGAAACTTCCAGAGTCAGAAGAGTCGAATTCAGAAGATGAAGCCTCTTCAAAGTCAGAGGTACGACAGCTAGAGAGAAGCTTTCTCTTCTTTACGGAGCCAAAATGTGTTTGACGTTCTTTTTACAACTTAAAGTGTTTTATAATTACATGCTATGCAAAATATGTCATCTGTGATTGTTAAATTTCTTTTTTTTTTTGTTGATTGATTGTTTTAAAGGTTCAGTGTGTAGAATTTAGTGACATGATGAAATTGCACGCTGCAGCTGAGTACCCCTCAGCAATCTTCCTCTCCTACCAAACATAAAAGAGAACCCCTGGTAGCCTTCGGTCGTCATTAAAACTCAAAAGGTGTTTAGTTTGTCCAGTCTGGGCTACTTTAAAAAACTTGGCGGCATCTGTAGAGAGGACCCACATTCATACACTAATTATGATAAGATCCATTACTTTTACATTACATTTTATTTCCCTCATGGTCTTCACTACATATATTATGTGTCTGGACAAACATGGAAACAACCACAAGCCGGTAATTTTAGTCTCATCCCATTTTCTTCCTCTTTTTGACTCATCATTTTCTTCTTCTTCTTCTACAGCAGTCGGCCCCTTCCAGTCCTTCCAATTCCAGTTCTAGTTCTGACTCCAGTTCAGACTCAGACTTTGAGCCGGGACAGAAACAAGGGCAAGGTACAGTCCGTTATCAGACGGAAAATTTTAAAATTGTTTGGCTGATTGAATTAGCTTCCACTGCTGAGAGTCTCCATGTCTGAGAATCATCAGAGGGAACTGAGTTTTCAGGGTCAATAGTTTTATAGTTTATGTGATTCTGTCCCAGGCCCGTTACGATCCATGGTGGAGGAGATCCAGTCAGAAGAGTCGGATGATGACGACAGCAGCTCGGAGGAGGAGACGCCCATCAAGACGAACCCACCCAACCGTGACTCTCGGTCAGTCTCCCTCATCTGCTCACTTTTTTCTGAAGTTAAATCAAACTATGATCAATACTTCAGAGATTTTTGTCCCGCAAACAGAACAGTCACAATCTGGAGCCTCGTGCAGGAGCCTTACATTTTCTCTGCCAGCCTCACTGTTTTCACTCTTGTTTACTTTTGTAGATTTTTTCATTTTAATCTCCTCCGCTGAGAGATTATAGGCCTTAGGCAGAAAGGACTGGTGTTGACAATGTGTTCTGGCTGTCAGTCTGTGTGTGTGATGGACCTCTGACCTCCTCTTATCCCCCTCACAGACTCAGCTTGGACAGCGAGAGTGACAGCAGTGACGGCTCACACCGCCCCAGTCGAGACCCCGTCCCGCCCCCACAGAAACACAGCTCCTCCAACAACAAAGTGAGTCACACGGGCCTCTCATTTTACGCTTTGCTTTAATTGACATATTGACTGAAGCTGAAATGATTTGACTTGAAAATATGTATTAAAGCCAAGCAAGCCAAGTTGTTGACCAACAGACTCAGAGTTGGGCCTGCTCTTACAATCCTGGTTTTACTTAATTTTCTCAATATTATGGTTGGTGATTGTTTCTTTTATTCATTTTGTGCATTCCTGTGTTCAATGTAAACAGGAATTTAGCAAAAGTGCTGTGTGGTTTACCTCTGTGCTTTTGTGATTAATATTAACAAGGGAAATTTGTTTTGCGTGTTTGAGAAGGTCATGTACGAGTAGTACAATCAAAACAATGATAAACAACATACCAAGCCATTTTTAGACAGAGATCACTCAGACATTCAAACACTTGCTGCATTATTTATTTTGGGTCATTTCTTAATTATAAAATAAAATAGCCTGTAGTCATTCAGTGAACTGACATGGAAAACTCTGTGTTTCAGCACTTTAACCCTCCACCTCAGCTTTTTTCACTGTCACTGGTATCCTTGATAGTCTCATAGTCTCACATCACGTCCTCTGTCTCTCTTCACTCTGACGTCTCTCTCACTCTGTACTTTCTCTGGTCTCTGTTCTGCAGGTGTCTGGCAGAAAGAGTCCAGATTCCTCCTTCCGCTCAGAGAAGGTGTTGAAGAAGGGATACGACAAGGTAGGAAGGGTAAATAAAACTTTTTATGCTTTTAACTCTCACACACACATACACACAAATAAGTCTGTCATTCATGAATTCAAGATGCAGTAATGGACAATGAATTGATCCAGATGTGCAAACAGACTCTGACCTATGAACCCTGGTAATGAGATGATATAAGTTGTGATAAAGTCACATTAAAACATCTGCCAAAACTAGAAGCTAAAAGAAAAGCTCTAAGTATGTTTTTGTTTCAGTTTATACACATTATTGTGCAAATGTTTTCCAGTAAAACTAAAATGAGGAAGTTTTCAGAAATCATGCTTTGAGGGGTTATTGCTCAGGAGTTCAGTGCTGCCCACATCAACGCCTGATTATGACTGAACGGAAAATCCTCATGCACCACATCTCATCATCACTGTCATTGCATACGAGTCCTAACTGTGTGTTGTACGACCATTGGTCAGTTTCCATGAAGTTTAATAAGCTTTATTTCATAAAATTTAGTAAAAACTTCAGTAATTAGAGAGATTTTCAACACTGTGGTAAACCCGGTTTTATCCTGAAGAGGATGTATACGCCCCCTCACATCTGCCTGTCAGATATGAAAATGGTAAAATCCTCCCACAATAACCCAACATCAGAGTTGGGGATCTGCAGCAGGCCCTTTCTTTAACTTTCCAAAACCAACGACTCGATATTAACATCCACTTTACTCCTCTCTACCACATTTGTTATACCACTTTTTCCATCACGAGTCATGAGAACCATTGAGTGCAGAACTATAAACATCTTGGAGAGACTTTGTGCTGCTGTCCCCACATAGTAAGACAACACTTTGTATGAACTATTTCTTTCCTTCTATAACCCCGCACTCAGATTCAGAGAAAGAAAAAATAGAACCAAAAAAACAACCTTTGTTCACCAACAGGTAGAAAATCAAATCATGGAAGACCTTGAATTACAAATGCATCGAGTTCCTGCACTGAATCTTGACATTCTTATTTTTACAGCCAAATCCTTTTGCGCCAATGCTAATCTATTCTTTTAATACTGAACTGACCATGTACACTCTCCTCTGTAATCTAAATCTAAAACGTGCTGCAGGCCTACACAGAGGAACTGGTGGACCTCCATCGCAGACTGATGGCTTTAAGAGAGCGTAATGTTCTACAGCAGGTGTGTGTTAATGCTTCTGCTTTGCTTGATACATCTGCATGGCATCTGTACCAAACGAAAAACTAATATTGCAGTTTTTGATAATTAATAAAGCGTCATCAAAGATATTGTGTACGATAAAAAATGATAATTGTCCTCTTCATCATCTGTCAGATTGTCAACCTGATCGAGGAAACGGGCCACTTCAACGTGACCAACACCACCTTTGACTTTGACCTCTTTTCACTGGACGAGTCCACTGTCCGCAAACTACAGAGCTACCTGGAGGCGACGGCCACGTGACAGGAAGTGGACACCGGCATGTGGATGGCAGCAGCGGCGGGAGTCGACTCGCCACCTATTTTCCTCCATAGGCGAGGTGACGAGTGGTCACATCTGTCGCAGCTGTTTCACAGGTCTGACTGAAACATTGAACAACTACCACCAGAACAGAAACACACGGTCAAACACAAGCACACATGAAGACACACCACTTTCACATGACGCTGGGGAGGAAACAGGAGGAGTTGGCGAAGGTGATGAAGGGAGCGCTGGAGTCGCTGATCTCCGTCTACAGTCAGGATTTTGATCACACGTCTCTTTTTTTTTTTTGAGTCCATGCAGAGCTGTGGAATGCACCCCACACACACCCCCCCTCACCCTCCTGCACTGCACTCACATTGCTCCCGCCTTAGCGAACCCAATACTACTCCTCCTCCTCTTCACACGCACACTTCTTACCCAGCAGAACACTCCAGTTCCCCTCCCCCTGCTGTCAGCTGGAGCTCATTTCTCTCCCGACATACTGTTGAGTGTGTGTGTGTGTGTGTGTGTGTGTGTGTGTGTGTGTGTGTGTGTGTGTTTGTCTGTGCATGAGTGTGTGCATGCGAGCACTGCTGAGGTTTAACAGGACAAGTTGTGTTTGTTGTTGCTGACTTCTCTTTGTTCGTCATGCCTAAGTACAAACAACAGCCAGTTTCCCTCCTTCCCATGAACACACATGGAAAACATATACATACAGGTAACCTTTACAGGTAACCCCCCCAACTAAGCATTTATTACTATAGGCACTACACTAATATTAAATAAATGGTTTACAGCACACTGTAATGCAGTTGTAAGTAGCTATGAATGTTTAGTGTAATTATGGAGATATAAGACAACACTGACTTTTTGAAGAAACATTAGTCCAAGAAGTCCACATCTTTAAATCCTTTTCTCTGTAAAGTGAAACCAAAATTCATATTCAAGCTGATTGTCAGTCAGATACTCAATTTATTGTGTCAGGGCCTCGAGAGCATACAATAATTTTCTTCTCTCTTCGAGCTGCCCATCTTCTGTGACAGCGTTAATTCTTGGCTGCTGGACACATTTTTCTTCCCGGTTCGTTTAGCATGAAACACTACTCGTGATGAATTTATTAGAACCCATCCTTCAGAAACAGAAAGACAAACTAAACCCTTTATTTGCTGATTTACTCTTAACAGACTCGAAAGGCACTTCTCAAGTAGAACCCACAATTCATCATTCTTTGGGAGCTGCTGTATCAGCGATACAATCTGATGTTATGAAGACACGATGGTCTAGTTCTTGAATCAAGGACAAACCACACTTTTTAAAAGAAAGAATATAGTCTTATATTTGAGTTAGCTTGGTATTTGTCATAAAAAATAATTATTTCATTGTCTATTAGCTGCTAATTTTCTCAATCACTGTAAAATACTTGTAAATGAACATCATGATCATGAAACTACCTTGTTTTAATTTGACCCACTGAAGAAATCTTCTTCCTGGGGAAGCTGAAAGTAAATTATATTGTGGATTTTTGCCTGAAAATGGTTTGAAAAGATTCTAAAGATTCTAACAGTTGCTGGTTCATTTTGTGTTGGTCAACTTCTGGTTGATGACATAGAATATATGGTACATTAGTAAACACTTAAATGTTCTTATACCTTCAAACAACTGCATTATAGTGTTTATTATATGTTTAGTGCTTTCAATGCTGCACGGGGGGGGGGTCCTCCCAGGTCCTTACACTTAACACTGTACATGAAGATACTGAGACGTGCGTGTGTGTGTGTGTGTGTGTGTTTGTAAGTGCTTGTGTGTGTTTCAGATGAGGTTTCTCTGTTGTCTGAACATCTGAAAACGTCTCCTCTGTCGAGTCCCCCCCCTCCTCTGCTTCCTCGCACTGAAAGCTGAGCCTTGACCTCCTACCAACAGACCCCCACCCCCTTCTTTCCTTCAGAAGCTCCCTCACTCCATCCCTTCTTCTCTCCCTCCTCCTCTCTTATTCCCATATTGGCGTGCATGAAAGGGCTCGACTGCTCGTGGCCAGAGCAGTGGAGGATCACTCCGGAATTGCCTTTTAAGTGGTGGGAGGGTTTAAAAATAATAAGCCGTGAAAAAGTAGCCATACTTGTCTCCCAGAATCCAAAAATACGAAAACTAAAATAGGGGCCACGCTTTTTTACATTTTATTTTTCTACAAGTGCATTTTTGTGTATTTATTCCCACACTGCGGTTAAGAAAAACCTGTGAGCTATGAATGTATATCGCTTTTACTTTTCTACGGCTAGCAACAGCCCCACTCTAGTGCCTTTTTCCTGCACCTTGCAGTGTGAGGGGGTGGTGTGCGCTCTCTTAGCCATGGTCACACAGATTGAAGCCACCCCCCTCAAAACGCCCCCCTCTGCGGGGGAAACAAGTGTTAAGTGGGATGCCTGAATATCCAGTATTGTCTTAATGGCGTTCATCCCTGCGTCTCCTTCTCCAGTGTCTTTGTAGGCTGTCGTCCTCTTACCCGTGATATTTCTGTTCATTGAGCCCTGTAGACATTTTTCAGACGACTGTTTTTCATTGATGGTGGTCATGTTTTTATGTTCCTGCTTTCTGAGATTAGATTCGGTGTTTTTAAAGAGAAAGCATCAGGTTACTGTGGTAGTTACATTAATTAGCTCTAGTAACAGTTGCGTTCAGCTGTGTTTTGTGTGTGTGTGTGTTTTGTGAGACGGTCGTTGTTAGGGTGGGGGTTCCCTCTTCAGCCGATTGAAGTCTTTGAACTGACAGTGGAGCGTTTGATACCAAGTAAACAGCACTTGATCTCACATTAGGACACATAAGCAGAAATGTAAGCTAAGCAAAGCACTCCTTGTGTTTTCTTTCCCTGAATATTACAAATGTATTTCTCGGGGGCCTGAATCTTGATGAAACGGTAACACAGGCTGACTGGTCTCATGAAGCTGGGTCACTTTAACCAAGTTAGCGCACGTCACCCAGAGAAGGATCTGATTTGATGGTTGTCACATTGGTGGATTCACTTGGTTTTACATGCTAAATACTGTATATCAGACATATGTTACTCTCTTTTAATGTGTTTATGCCTTTAAAATTTACTGTAGAGCATACAGCCTGAATAATACAAGACTTCTGAGGTGGATATTGATTTACAGTTGAAAACTTAAGATAAACTGATACCAAAATATAAATATACCTGCAGTGCCAGGGCGATTTATCAGCTTGAACTAACAACATTTCACCTCGTTGTCAGAAGCTCCTGGTCAAAAACCTTAATGTGTGAAACTACAACTAAAAGCAGGAGCTCACAGATCTAAACTGAATCTTAGGGTTGTGATTATTTATAACTTTAGCTACATACAGGTGATGAAAGCTGTTCTGAGTGAGATTAAATAACAAGTTTCAAGGAGATTTTTATTAGAGGATTTGAGACTGAATCCTGATTCGATAAAATGTTTTCAGCGTCTTTACCGCAAAGCATCTGGGGCTCCCAAAGGTCACTCTCAGGACAGTTGGCCATAGTTATCAATACTTATCATTTACAGTTGATGAATTGACACAGTGCTTTGTCACAGACTGCAGATTTGCAGTACTAAACGTTTTTGTAATACTCAAATCTTTTGATCATTCACTTTTTTTCTATTTATATTTCCATCATGTTTACAATCTGTCTTTAAATTTTCAAGTCTGAATATATCAACGTCTGCAGTTTTATCTCATATCTTTGTAATCTGTGACATGTGATCGTTTTCTCATTACACATGTTTCATGTAAACAAACGTGTGTGAGGCTTTTAAGAAAAACCAGGAACCAGCTTCATGAGACTGAAGCCAGAGAAGTCAAAGAAAGAGGGAGTGAAGTTAACTTGCTTCGTGATTCAGGCCCCTGGTGTGTTAGTTCCTGTGGCCCCTTTAGGCTTCACACACACACACACACACACACACACACACACTACACACACACTACACACACACCAAACCACTGTGGTAGAGACCTTCAATGAGCAATTCCCTCCCTGCCCTCCTCCCCTCGTCTTCAGTTCTCTTCCTGCCGACAGTGTTTTTATCCTGACGCTTCGATAGCTTTAATTCTTCCCCTCTCGTCCTCTGTTGCCTGCCTGGCTCAGCGACATGTACACACTCCCTCTGTCCTTACTGTAAACTCCGCCTGAGCATGGAAAATGTGTCTCAAATACAAAGTAAAAAAAGAAAACGTGGATCCCTGCCGCCTTACGTGCCCTGCAGTAACCCCCCTCCTCCTCCTCTCATTGCCCTTGTTCCTTCCTCTTCATTTTCTCGAGGTGTGCCTCTGAACTTCAGGCCGTGATTACTAAGAATGAACTTTGCAACTGTGTGAGTGACGTTTGTGCATCTGCGAGTGTATTTGTTAGTGAACGGAGGGAATTAGAGAAAAAAAAACCTCTTCTTGCTGTTGCCCTTCTCTGTTCATCGATGTGGGAACTTTTAAGTCCTCGTTCATGAACTCTGACCTTTGACCAGGCACTCATTCAGTCCCTTGTGGTGGAGGAGAAGAGGGGGAGTTAGACAGGGACTGGAGAAGACCCACTGTCTACCCACAGTCAATGTTTTATTTATGGACCTCTGCACTTTTGGCTGTGATGACTTCAGTACTTAACGTAGTTACCTGAACTGTATTTTTAAGGATTTTATACAATATTTACATGCAATACAATATGAATTGATTTTTTTTTTTTTTTTTTTTTGCCAACTTTATTTTGTTTCGTTCTTATTTAATTGTCTTTACCTTTGACATGTTTGGTCACTATTATTCACAAACAAACATGTCCGTCAAATCTATTTTAGGCATCAAATGTTGTTATGGGGATGTTCCCTGTATGTTGTGTATCATGATTCTGATGACAGCTGAAAACCAAGAAGCAGGTGTTGGACAAACGTTTGCTGGATGAGCTTAACTTCATCATATCTCTGCTTCCAGTAACAAAGAACTGGACCTGAACGAGGACGTGAGGAGTCCATGCTTCAGTTCAGTGAACTGAAAACCGTTTATTTTTTGTCTCATGTCCAGCTATGATTTGAGTGTTTTTATTTTTTTTTAACCCTACTCATTAATAGAAGTCTGTACCTGAACAACAAACTGACACCCTCGCATTATTGCTCTGAGAAAGTGAGCCTGAAGCAACACAGCAATAGAAACGATAGTTTGCGAGGTTGTGGGAAGCCACTCGGTTCTTTCGTACGCGACATCATGTGACTCACGCTTTGTGGCACTTTCACACTCGGAACCGCATGAAACCGAAAAGTCAAAGTCACGACGTCCCGTCCAGGTTAAACTCTGTTCCGTTCACTTCTGTCACAGTCTCTCATCTAGTATTTCTCACATCAATCTTTCTATATGTTTCTAAAGTTTTACCTCTTGATCACAGGAAAAAATCTACTGCTCTCCTTAAAACTACAAGCACAACAGCGCAGGTAGTTTCATTTACATCAAATGTTCATCTTTCCAGTTGTATCCTCTGCTGTCTTAATACGCGTTTTTCCTCTGTCCTGCTGAAACCGTGGCCTCTCAGCTCACTTTTCATCAATTGTGCTTTGAAGTTTAGCTCACAAATGTCTGAGGTTTATGGGAACGGGTGTTAAGTAAAGGCTGCAAAACAAGATAATAGTAAAATGCTAATGGATTCTGACATCATCTGTTCTAATGCTGGATTTGTTATTAGCGTAGTTACAAATGCCAGTGGGATTTTTAATGAGCAAACCCATGAGTTCCAGTTTCACCTGCGCTTTTACGAGCACCTGCATCAAAGAAATCAGGACACTTAACTACGGCTCCCAGGATGCATTTCTGCAAACTCTAGATTAAATTTCAAATTCACGGCTGCTCTGACTCTCCTCTGCCTGGCATCTTCTCCATGGCAACGGCAGCTGAGGCTCATGGTTGTGGTCGAACGTTCGAGCCGTCCACGATGGTCGTCACAACGTGAACCCGTACGATAGTGGGATCATCCAGGAGAGTCCTGTGTTTCCGTGTTGAGCGACGCTGACGATGTTAATGAAAGTGAAAAATTGGAGGAAACAAAAACCCACTCCCACTTTGCAACTCTATGAGCAGGTCTGTGGGAGTGGAGCCTTTCAGCTGCGACTATTATATATAATAAGTGTATAATACAGCAAAGGTAGAATATTATCTACTGTGTGGATCTTAAAGAGGACGAGGAGAAAGCAAAAATATTGAGCAAATGGTTCGTTGAGAATATGTGGAGGGGGGGGTGGGAGGGGGCATGTGCAGACGGGGTGTTTCCTGTGTCAGTGGTTGTCATAATGTGTCTGTGACAAGGGGACAGGGTTTGCCTGTATTTATAAAGGTTTGATTTGTTTTTTTTTACCTGGGGGGG